CCCCAAAACCCCAAAACCCCAAAACCCCAAAACCCCAAAACCCCAAAACCCCAAGCAGCAAGATCCAGATTGAATCTTTAATAAATCAGCAAGAATTTGGAGACAAATTTAAGAGACTCTATCTTACAAGACGCATGTGGGTATACTTAAAGGTTCCAGAAAGATTTGTCGGTATAGGAAGCTTGGGATCCATTTTGAATGCATTCACTCTCAACTTCTTCAATGCTTTCTGGTTAGGGATCTCAATATCCTCCTCCACTTCGATTTTATTTTCTTGAATCCCAAAGACATCCTTGTAGGAAATAGTGAAGGAAGACTGCTTGACTTCTTTCATGAGATTTATGGTATAATTTCTTGGTAAAATTCTACCTTCATACAAAGAGTGTAGAACATCATATTTCATGAGAGCTCTGTAGATCAAATCCCTTCCTTCAAAGAGTCATTTGAGGCCATCCTCCATTCCCTTCTTGATATCTGTTAGTACTGGAATAGCATTAAGAATTTCGTTATTGAACTGTTCTTTCTTCTTTAGTACAAGTTCTCTTTGAAGTACCCAGTCTCTGACAAATTCATCTGGATATTTCTCGAATTGTTGAAACTTCTTCATCTTCATGAAGCTTTCTTTCTCTGCAAAAGTAGTAGGAAACTTTTTGTCAAGAATATACAGGTCTTGCTTTATCATGGACCCTGAGAAGGCATTCTCAAGGAACATATTAATGCAATTATCAAGGATTTTTACCTTCTCCTCTCCGAATGCACCGTACGATTTGCCTATCTTCTTGAAAGTCTCGACGCAGTTTACTGCGTTGTCTGATTTTTCAATGAAGTCGATAACTCTTTCAAAGAACTGCTTTTCAAGGTCCTGAAATCCCTTATTCAAGTTGGCATCAGAATTATTTTCATAGATGCTCAATTTATGCTTGCAATACTCAAGTTCTTTGGTTAGCTTGTGATATGCGGTTTCTAAATTTTCGCATCTCTTCTCTAAGTCTTCATAATATTTCTTCTTGCGTTGTCTTGCTCTTCTAGCACGTTCCTTGTCTGATATCTAAATTGTATTATCAAGACCTCTCACCTTAGATTTTCTCTTGCTAGTGAGTTCATCTTCTTTTGAACTAGTACTTTTCTCAACTTGGTCTTGGCTGGTTCGTTCTTCATAATGATCCAAAGGCTGTAGTAGATCAGGCACATCCGACTTGATCTCTTCGTCATTCCTCATGGCTGCATCAGGCTTACGGCCTGATGCAGCCATGTGGTCTGGACTTGTGAAGCTGATCTTTTGGGTGAATAGCTGACACCCATTATCTGTTTCTTGGTTAAAATTCAGAATTCCTCTGTTCTCTCTAAAACGATTGGTCAGGCTTTGGTCAACTCATTTTGAAAAAATTGGGATTTTTGTAGCAGAAATTGGATAGTGATATTATACTCCACACCATTTCACATCCTAAAATCCCTTAATTTTCCCTCTCAAATGCCAGGAGGGAGTCTTAAATTAAGCCGATTTTCACTATTTCTGCTTTATATACTCCAAAAATTTATAATAATACATTTAATCTTCACAAGGCATCTTTCCACTTTGCCTTAAAGTCTCAGCACTTACTCTTTCCAACGGTCTTCCTCGACAAGGTCTGTATGGGTCTTTAGAATCTGGTTCTCTCTCATATAATTATCCATTTCCTCGAAATACTGCACCATTGATGTGGACATGACGTATTGTTGATCTTCCATTGCTATTTAATATTCTATTTAGCTAAGCTCTCGTGGGGTTTTGGGGTTTTGGGGTTTTGGGG